TGTGTGTGTGTGTGTGTGTGTGTGTGTGTGTGTGTGTGTGTGTGTGTGTGTGTGTGTGTGTGTGTGTGAATCTGCTATTGTCCACATGAAAGCCATATCATGTGTTTTCTGACAAAGCAATAAAAAGGGCATAGCTGCATCTAGTAGGGATAAATGCACACATATATATCACATTTATGCTTAAATATGTAAAAGTTCAAATAGATACAAGAAAGGACACAAGATCCTTTTCCACAATGTTAGGAATTTTGGACATCTTACATAGGAACAAGGAAAATCTGCTACATTACAAAATGAATGAAAATTTTGATTAAATCATAAGAGATGCCAGCACAAGAGCCACTCCCTCTCTATAATATCCTGATGCAAATCTTCACTGTGTGCAGTGTACTTCTGTGCTGCTGACTTGTCTTAAACTTTGTGTTGATCATCAGAGCAGCAGTGAAGAATCTCTACAGTCACAATGACACAGACACTCACTCTGCTGCTGGTTGCATTTTTATTTCCTTGTGAGTTCATCATTTTCCAGGACACTCTGATTGACGGTCAGTCAGTGATAACTAATGTGTTGGTCTTCTGTCCTTTCATTTCATCAGGTGTTACAGGTCAGAGTATGGAGTCCATTCCTTCCAGTCCTGTAGTGAAACAGCCTGGGGAGACTCTCAGTCTTTCCTGCAGAGGATCTGGTTTCACATTTACCTGCTGCACTATGAACTGGGTTAGACAACAACCAGGAAAAGCACTGGAATGGATCGGGATTGGCTTCTCATCTTCCAGCAGCAACAGTTATGCAAGCAGTTTGAGAGGACGCATAGAAGTCAGTAGAGATGACAGCAACAGTCTGACACATCTGAGACTTTCCAACCTGAAGCCAGAGGACTCTGCTGTGTATTACTGTGCCAGACACACAGTGGTTTAAATAATGAGAGAGACTTTACAAAAACCTTCAGACATACAGTTTCACAGGAACCTACAGGGGGCAGCAGATGATCAAAAATATGATGTTCAACTCATTGTCACAATAACACCTGTGTTTGCACCATCTGTGAATAAATATTAGTAAAATGCACAGAATCTAAAAACATGTTATGGTAACAATGAAAAAAATAACTCCAAGTTAGAAAAGCAGTTAAAACAATGAATGCAAGTACAAAACATTAAACAAAGAAGCAAAACAAACGGTTCTTTTCTGTTTTTTCAACCTTGTATCGTTAATCACATTATAAAAATTAACTTCTGTGTTGCAGATATTCTTTTGTCTAAGTCAGCAGAAGATGATATGAGGCTGAACTCACTGTTATACGTTGTCATAAATGTGTGTTTGTCTGTGTGCTGGGTTGGACCCTCAGATTGATCCACATTGCCAGCTTCTCTGATCACTGTATCAGTTTTTGCATCCATGTTCATCAAACTTTGCCCCAGCATATCTAATGAAGGGAATAGTACCTCTAATATCTATATGCAATTATTCGAAAATGGATATTAAAATGTTTGAAAATTTAAATGTACAAAACCAAATTTGCTGCAGCAAGCAGACACACAGTAGATTTATAACTAAAAGTAATACTGAAAAAACATATCTATTCACTGCAAACTTTTCTTTTTAGATGCATTTGAATAATATTTAAGCAAAATATGTCAGTCCCTCCCTAGTAAAATCACAGTGGCAGACTTTTGTGCTCTTAGGAGCCGTCTGCTTCATTTCATTTCATTTCATTTCATTCACACCTTCACTTTCAAGATGATGTTTAGACTGTCTGTCTGTCTGCTGACAGTTGTCTGTCTGCCCTGTATGATGCTTCATATTGTTTTTATTAAGATCATTTGTTTAAATCATTATTTTCTTCCTGATTTTCACTAATCTGATTTTTCTTCTCGTTGTTCAGGTTTGAATGGTCAGGCTTTGGAGTCCATTCCTTCCACTCCAGTGTTAAAAAAGCCCCAAGAAGCCCTCAGTCTTTCCTGTAGAGGAACCGGTTTCAATTTTGGCCAAGCAGGAATGCACTGGATCAGACACCCTGCAGGAAAAACACTAGAGTGGATGGGGGTCATTTGGTTTGATGCAAGTAAAACCATTTATGCCAGCAGTGTGCAAGGACGTGTAGAAATCACCAGAAACAACAGCAACAGCATGGTGTATCTGAGACTGTCCAGCCTAAAGCCAGAGGACTCTGCTGTGTATTACTGTGCAGCATTAACATCGAGTGCCACAGTAACAGAAACCATGAAGAGACCTGTACAAAAACCCTTCACTGGTTTAACATTTATATGAAGCTGCCAGAGGAGGAGCTCTAAGGCTACTGATATAGGTTTGCACAATTAAAAAAGTCATGTACTTTAGAATAATGAAAATAGGTAAATACATACAATACAGATATAAAATATATAGATAATATATAATATATATAATATAGGTGGAAAGAAGGAGTATTTCTTCAATCACATCTTCATATGTTCAAATGTGAAAGCAGTGTTCTGTTTAGATGATTGTACCTTATAAACCCTGCGTATGCTGCTCAGTTTTAGATCTTTTACAGCTGCATATGACATCTTTCATCTTTTCATTTTGTACTTTTATATTTAGATAAGAATATGTTATCTACTTTATTAAACACTAAATAACTCAACACTAACACTAACACTAATAAAAGATAATGTTTCTGTAATGTAATCTTTACTCATTTGGTATAAAAAACAAACAAACAACAACAACAACAAAGAAAATGTAATATTCCTAAAAAATGCATAAATCCTGTTCCTAGAATACAGTTTTTAAAAGTTAAATATATCAGAGTTTGAATTCTGTTTGAATTTATTTAGGTTTTGTTTAAATTTAATCTTTAATGTTTGGATTTTTGTTAAGTTGTCATAGGCCTGGGTGTGGGGACCCAGGGCTCATGTGTTTTTTGAGGGTTTAATGAATTTTATAAGTTCTCTTTGACTATCGGAGTGTTTGTGGTTGCTTGTTGGTGTGATCTGCTCCTTGTTTCCCTGTGTACACGTTTGAGTGTGTGTGTGTGTGTTTGTTTTGCTTCCATACCAGGCCTAGAGACTCTTCCTGCCTTTAAGCTTTAACAGTAACAAGTCATAATGTTCCCACAGTTTTATTATCTTCATAGAGCATGTGTTTAATAATTATTACATATGGAGATTTTTACCAATGTATCAGAAATTCATTTCTAGAGCAAATTATTACATAGTATGTAATAAATAAAGACCATATTTTGTACATTTATAAGATTTACCTGACTAATATAATAATAATAATGGATTGTGTTTATATAGCGCTTTTCAAGGCACCCAAAGCGCTTTACAATTCCACTATTCAGTCACTCTCACATTCACACACTGGTGGAGGCAGCTACAGTTGTAGCCACAGCTGCCCTGGGGCAGACTGACAGAAGCGAGGCTGCCATATCGCGCCATCGGCCCCTCTGATTGTAGACTGAGCACAGGGACATGACTTTTACAATGAACTGTCCTGGGTTTACCTTTGTTTTTCTCAAAGTGTCAGTTTACTGGGCTGGTAAGGACAGCACATTTCTATTGCAAACATTATGATAGACAAGTTATATACCTGAAATATAGAAACTAAACAACTAAACAGTCACTAATTATTCCTGTTTGTCTGTAACTACTGAGGGTCAAACACTGACTGAGTCTGAATCAGTGATTAAAAGGCCTGGAGACTCCCACAGACTGACCTGTACATACTCAGGGTTCAGTGGTGATTTTCATGCTGCTTGGGTCAGACAGGCTCCTGGAAAAGGACTGGAGTGGATTTCATGGATACATTATGATGGTAGGAGCATCTACTACTCTCAGTCAGTCAGAGGTCGGTTTACCATCTCCAGAGACAACAGCAGAAAGCAGGTGGGTAGGTTTTCCTATTTTCAAGTGTAAATATCAAAATTTATGATTGTGTTAAAAGCTTTTAATGAATAATAATAATAAAAAAAACTCATTGAGCACAAACACTGACAGCATGGACACTACACATGGTTACTTGTATTAGAACTGTGTTCAGCATGACCTGAAGAAAACACACACAAAAAGTGCCTGAACAGTTATATCATGAAACCAAAAGAGGGGGAGCTTTAAGACCATGAATGGATTGTAGATTATTTTTATTCTGTCATATTATATAACTTTTAGTGTCTTTACTGTTCATGATATCGTCAGTTTAAATTATGCCTCATGAATTAAAATGTGTTGAAAAGAGGAGGAGACAATGCAAAACTGTTATCTTCACTCTCTTGATATATATCACAGCACAAAACACAAAGACTCAACATACACTCTGCAGACGGGACAACAGCAACAACAACTGTTACAATGATCAGACCTTTTTATTTAATATTTTTTCTTTTTCTGTTGAATTTCTCAGCTGGTAAGAGCAAACTAATTAATTGGATAAATAAAACTATGGAAAGAAAATTTGATTGCACTAATGAAATCTAAACACTTTTAGGTACTGAGGGTCAAACACTGACTGAGTCTGAATCAGTGGTTAAAAGGCCTGGAGACTCCCACAGACTGACCTGTACATACTCAGGGTTCAGCAGTGATATTGATGCAGCTTGGATCAGACAGGCTGCTGGGAAAGGACTGGAGTGGGTTGCTTATATTGAGGATGATAGTAGCAACATCTACTATTCTCAGTCAGTCAGAGGCCGCTTTACCATCTCCAGAGACAACAGCAGAAAGCAGGTGTATCTGCAGATGAGCAGCTTGACGACTGAAGATTCAGCTGTTTATTATTGTGCTCGAGAGCCACAGTGACACAAGAGGAAGAAACTCTGTATAAAAACTCAATTCATCAAAAAAATAAATAAATAAATAAATAAATGTTTTTTGCCTTTTTAAAATTATTATTCCTGTAGTTAAATTTGCTTTGCTGAAAAAATGAGAGCATTCACCTTTACAAAATAATACACGTCTACATATTGACAGAAACATTGTGCTCATCTCTGTGTAATTTTGTTTTCTCTTGCTTTATCTAAATGTTTTGAATTTCATCAGTGATATAAAAAAGGTCAAATATCTTTGAGCTAGTGTTGTGAATTACATTTTTTTGTGTATGCACCAAATAATTTTTGCACCTTGACAGCAATCTCTAACTATTAGTGACAGGAGAATTCATATCACTATAATAATTTGTCATTGTCAGTCTGTATCTAAAGCAAACTTCCTCACAGACTCTTATAAAGAGTGATGTTAGATGTAACAGCTGTGAACAGAAGAAGCTCCCATCAGTTCACCTTGAGCACCAACATGTTCTCTGTAGCTCTGCTGATGGCGTTTGTTGCTGAATCCTGGGAGTGTGACTGAGGCAGTGACAATGCAATTACATTTCTCCAAAACAAGTGCTGTAAATACGAAATGATTTCCCCTTGCTCCTCGAAACATTTATTTTATTGCTCATCAATTTATCAGTGATATATTTCAAGGTATTTAAACAGTCATCTGTAGTTCAAAAGGCAGTATAGACACTTATTATGCTGGGCACATAAAAACATTTATAGGCCCTAACATTACACAACATTTATTTGTGTTTTCAAACTATTTAACTTGACATGTATTCATGGTCAGACTCTGACAGAATCTGAACCAGTCATTCAAAAGTCTGGAGAATCTCACAGACTGATTTGTACAAGCTCTGGATTCTTATTCAGAGACTACCCTATGAACAGGCTGCCTTTATAAACACAGGAATAATAATAATAGTAATAATAATAATAATAATGAAATCTACACTCTTTTTATTATTGTGCTCCAGAGCCACAGTGACACATGAGGAATAAATGTTGTCCAAGTACATGGAAAACTTGCTTTCTGCAGTTTACATCAACATAAATTAGTTAACTGCTGTTCAACATCAACAACAATGTTGTTGATGTTGTTGTTGATTTCTCCCTAAGATGGCAAACTGAAACACTCCAAGTTGGTGACTTTTGGAGATTTATTTCCCTGGATGATTGAGAATGCATCAAGATGAAACACAAAAGTGCACAGCTTTTAGCAGCATCAACACACATGGGTGTATGTCCTTTGTTGCTGAGATTTATTGATAAATTC